CCACAACCTTCTACCATCCTTGAGCCATCCGCCACCAAACAAGAATGGGTCAAACGAGAAGGGAAAGCAAAGGAAAAACCCTAGTGATGAAAAAAAGGGGTAAAGAACTAAAGAGGTTCCATGCGCTAAAGAAAAAATTGCCGAAATAGGAAGGATATGAGAAGAGAAAACATCACATTCGAAAAAACTCATAAGCTCTCTCATATCTGCGATTAGAAGAAGAAAACTGCTCGTTATACCTCAGATTTGTATATCGGGGGGCTACGAAGCAAGACGACGAAGGAGAGCCGCAAGGGAAGTTGTTAGGGCTGAAGAGAAACGAAAGGGGTAAGCGGGACAATAGTTCAGAGGAAAGCGGGGACGCGGAGCTAATATCGAGGCCGCAAATCGATCCGCTTTGCCAAAGTTTTGCCGCAAAGCTTCAAACCAAACACCACAATGCGGGACGAAGCCACTGTAGCACGCCACGCCACGCAGCAGAAGCCGAACCAAACAGGCCCTAAATATTAATCTAAAGTCAACAAGATCAATTCCCCATTATGCATAGAAATCATATTAACCTAGTGTAAAAATTTGAAAATTATTTGATGAAGTTTAAGCTCTAAAGTTAATTTTCTAAGAAACATTGTATTTTTGTACAAAAATAATTACATTAAACTAAATAGACTTAGAAAAAATTATGATAAGTGATTTTATGAGTTCCTTGTGATCAGTAGCACTTAGGAAATATAAAAGACATTTTTGATAAAATACTTGATTTTTGGCATATATTTTAAATTAAAAATAATTAAAAATAGTTAAAAATTTTTAAAAATACAAAAATATTTCAAAATATTCCTAATATATCCCTGATCACTTGAGACTCATTAAAATATTTCTCCCAAATTTTGTAAATTAAAAATAAATTTCTAAAGGCTTGAAATGTATTTTTCTTTTTTTCTCATTAAAATAATTATAATAAATAAATTAAAAATTGTAAAAATTAAAAATTTGTTTCTCTCAGTTCTTTGGACTCAGAGAGGAAAATATAAAAAGTAATTTTGGTAAATAAAACCCATTTTCTATTTAATTAAATAACTAAAAAAATCAATAAATACTTATAAAATTAAATTAAAATTTTGATTAAAAATATCATGGAATTTTGTCTAAGTGTTTCTCTAACCTAAGGGAACCTCTATATACTTTTCTCATAAACAAAAAAAAAAACTTTATTTTCATAGTTTCAATAAATTAATTTTAAAATCCTATTTTCTATGTTAAAATAATTAAATTAAATTAAAATTTCAAAACCACATTTTCTGCTCTAATGTTTTACTTGTCTCAATGGATAGGGTACTCTGAAATCTTTTAAATCATTTGAATTGTCCTTAATGAGTTATGAGGTGAAGAGCCCCAAGGGTAAAGTGGTCATTTTAGACTTTTGTTCCTTAATCAAAATTTAGGATTAATGAAAGGGAAAAACGGGCACTTTTTTATCTTAATGAATATGTTTGGATGATTAAAATATAATTTGTAAGAGGTAGAAACCAACTTGCCACCTTTTCATGATAAGAATAAAATTATAAATTTTCTAAATCATCAGAATTTTGAAGTTTATCAAAATTAAATGATTTTCTAGTTATGGGCTTAAACTAAGGAGACGATGTCTCACTTATGATTTAGTCCACTTCTATTAATCAGAATCCATATCATCAAAATTAAAATTCTAACACTTACTAATTTTCCGCCCATTAGATTTATTAAGGGGCTTGGTACTGAGCTAGGCTTGATTTTAAAACTTATTTGATGGATTTAGAAGTAATGTGATTGATGATTAACACTATAAACCTAGCTTTGGTGGGTACAAAGTCCTGAATGACTGGAACTTGCTTAAGGGGCCTTCACCCACATAACTTTTAAGTAAAATATAAATTGATTAATTGGGTACCTTACCCTAAAAATGATTAAAATGTCAAGATTCAATGACGAATGGGGTAATTTTAATTTGACATAGGATGATTAATGGAATAATATGATAAGTTTAAAGTGAACTCAAATGTTTTAAGAGAGCTTTAAAGCAGTTTAGGGTCATTTCCCGAACACTTTGAAGCCTCTTTGATATTTTGAAGGACAAATTGAACTTGCTATATTTTGTTCTAAAATCATCCATTAAGATCTTTTGGGACTCAATAAGTCATAGTTTGGAGTCTATTAGATACACCTTAATCTACTCTTGCCATTTATTTAAATTTCCAAAAAAATTATATAAATGTTGCAAAAGCTAATATTTTAGCGAGAATATCGAGAACATGACAGGTATGCTTTTGCAGTGTTATTTAATTTTCTGTCATTTTAATTTTGTTGCAAAACATCATAACTTGTTAGGTGTGTATCTTACTTCACGTGAAAAACTAAAAAACAACCACTTTCAAAATTAATCAACATTTTGAAAACCTAAACAAATTGTTTCAAAGGTAACCGTAAATCCTTTGAAATTTCACTAAATTTAAAATGTCCTTTTGAATTTACGGGAGTCTCTCAGAGGAGGTAACCTATGGTTGCTAGTAAAATATCTTCGTTTTAAATGGGTTTCATAACTCGTTTAAGCTAAGTAAATTCAAAAGAAAATAGTGATACCAGAATGAGGGAATTGTGAGATCATAACCGGTGTTGCTCTAAGCAACTTTAAGCCCCCCCCGTAATATTTAAATGACTTTAGGAAACACTTGATTTGACATCATGACTTGACACATTAGAAAACATAAAACTTATTATGAAGAATAGATTGGAGCTAGCATTTTGAGCATTAGCTTTCCAATCCTGGTGACCAACAGCTACCACAGAACCCCCTAAAATTAATGACAACAACTTCTGGCGACTCCGCTGGAGATTTGTTTTTCTCTCCATTTAAATCAGGGAATATTACCTTCATACATCGGTAATGTGACCATGTACCTTATGGACCAAATTACTCTTCTTCCCTTAGCATACTTCACCCATTTTTTTCTTTCGTATTTACAGTTAACTCTTTCAGACTTCAGAACCGTTTGTTCAATCACTTTTGGACAGAGAGGGTCAGGATTTCTTTCAGACTTTTTTCTTTTGTGTGGTGTCAGACCCCCAATAGGTGTGTTGGTGAACTAATTCTGCCTGAGCAATGTCCATTGTGAATTCGATCCTATACTGGGTCCTGAACTTCACTTTCCCTTTTGAGTTTAGTTTTCTACTTTGCAAATTAAATCAAATTGTGTCATGTTGTGCTTGCTCTCTAACCTTTATTATTTAATTAAATAATTCTTTCTACTTTTAACCTATTTTTACTAAATTTTAAAATCCTCACAAACTAAAAATTAAATAAAGATTGTCTAGTCTACATCCCAGCCTTTGTTAATTTTTAGTGTTCACACAAAAATTACAAAGTATTGGACAAATAACTAACCCCAGAGCT